AAAAAAGAAGGTTTCTTTGTGGAGAGAACATGGATGATTCAACACAGGGGCAGATCAGGACTGTGGATGCCTGGCTCTCCCAGCAGGCCCTGCTCTCCTCCTGCCACTTCGGCAGAGGCCCCAGACTGCACCTGCTGGTGGAATCCCGCAGTGCCACCGAGGCTGGGCACCATGCCACTCCTCTCTCCAAGAACACCACCACCTGGCAGGCTTCCAGGAACATTCAAGCCCCACGGACATCACTCTCAGGAATCCACCCACTCAGAAAGCAAATGCACAGGATCTCATGACCATACTGACAGCCTGGTAAGTCAGCATCCAGCTACAAAGCCACAGCTGGGGCTCCAAGTGCTCTCTGAAGATACACCATGGTCACAGTGGTGCAGACACACATATACACATCTTCACAACACACAGACTTACTAAAGATGTCATGAGCCTTCGGGGTTTTCAATACTATACCACAGATAATGATGGCAGTAGGTCTCCATTCTCAATAAGCACATGACGTTATCTGACAGACAAAATGATCATCAGGAGAAAAACTGTACGAGATGATTAAATGCCAATCTGTACAGTGGGACTTAAGGGCATCTGGATCTCAGGGCTTGGGCTGATATCCTGAAGGGAGTGCCCTTGCAAAGGCGCAGTGCCTTTGGTGGAAATAAGGAAATGCTTTCCAGGCAGAAGAACCGTAAGAGCAGTAGGGACTTTCCTCCATGGTGTGTGGTGGCTTCCCACCAGCTTGCTGGCAGAAATTTTCTCCAAATGCTTGTCCATTATTCAGCACCCCAGGAGGAGGAGAGGATGAGAAAATGATGCTCTGGGTTCTAGGTGGTTCTTTTTGCTCCTGATCCCAGGCTTAGAGTGAAGCCAGCTCTGCCATCCTGACAGCAGACAGAACCATAAATCCAGGTGCAAGCCACACTGCCTGGTAACAGAATAGGTTGACACTAAGATAGTTCTGCACAGCAGGGTGTGCTATATAGGTAGTAAACCAACCCAATCAGAACCTCTTTAAGAGAAGTAGGTGCGATGGTTTGGACAAGTGTTGAGAGCTTGGTCTCTAGCCTGTGGCACTATTGGGTGGTAGTGGCATCTATAAGAGAGGGGCCCAGTGGGAGATCTTCTGGTCACTGGGGCATGTCCTTGAAGGGGGTGGTGGGACTCCAGCCCCTGTCCCCTTCTGTTTCTCTCTCTCATACCACCATAAGGTGAGCAGTTTCCTCCACTGCATATTCTCTGCCATGACATGCTACTTTACTACAGGCCCAAAGACAACTTGGCCAAGCAACCATGGACTGCAACCTCTGAAACAGTGAGCCTAAATAATAAACCTTTCCTTCCTATAAATTGGTTATTTCAAGTATGTTGTTATGGTAACAAAAACCTCACTAACATAGTAGGGATGCTGATGAACACTAAGAATAGGTCAGTCAAGAGAAATGGACCTTATATTCTGATGTTCTATGACAGTTATGGAGAACCTTTTAGAGCTTTCAATAATACAAACAGCCCATCATGGCATGAGTGTCATAGGTTCACCATCATTGTTCTATGAAATGGGCCAGTGACCTGTTTTGAAACTTTTGAGACTCAGGTGTTTGGTTGAAGAGATGATAACCCACTTCCCATGTAGCTCAACACTTGTACTCTTTCCATGATGGAAAATCACTTCTTTCCCAGAATTCCTTACAGATGGTAATCTTGGCCCAAGCCTTCAATTACTCCTAGAGCAGAGGATGGTCTATGAGAAAGTGTGTAGACAAAGGGAGAAGAGTGACTTTTTCTATTTGAATCTCTTTTAGCCCCATGAGCATTTGCTCCAGACTACTTCTGAACTTCTGACACACACTGAGCCCTGGCCAGATAGAATCCAAATATTCCTCGGACCAGACCTGAATGAAAAGGATGCCATGACATTACTCCTAGTCCAGCTATACCCAAAGTAGGGCAGATTCTCCTGTTTCTTGTCATGGCTGCCATAAGAGCATGTCTTGATTGTGCTGCCAGCACAATTTCATACACTTTGTAGGATTTACTCTGATCCCACTTTGGGAAATGACTAAGCACAACCAGAGAGATTACAAAGGTCCAAGGTCATGCAGACTGAGCAAGCCACTCTGACTTGATCCTGAGCCCCAGATTCTTCTCAGATGATACAGCTCTTAAGGGGAAGGGAATTGATTTCTGCTCTTTCATGGCAGTTGCCTGTATCCCTGAAGTATAAGTGAGGCTTCCTGACACCTCTCCAGCGAGTACCAAGCTGCACAAGTTCCAAGCAAGAAAGCACTCCTCAAGTATTTAGGAAGCAGCACCAAAAGCCCAAGTCCATCAGAAAATGTCACACATGGTTCTAGGGTTTTGGTAATCCTAGTGGAAGCAAGTCACAGCAGCATGAGGGGAGCTATCACACTGGAGCAGTAATTCTGAACTTCGGTTCTGTTGACTGGGTTCAGGACTCTGTGTACCCTCTGGAATTGCTTGCAAGATTGAGGTGCGGGGAAAGGCATGGCAATGCATGTTTGTAATTTCAGCATTTGGGAGGCTGAGGCAGCAAGAGTACTATGAATTTGAGGCCACCTTGGGCTACATACTGAGTTCAAGACTGAACTATAAAGATAGACTCCATTAAAAAAAAAAAGACTGTGTTAGGGTACATTTGCCTAGGAAAAGTGTGTGTGGCTCTTAGAAAGATCAAGGACTCAAAGACATTGAGAACTACAGGAATTAAGGACCTCATGTTTCCTCTAGCCCTATATATGCAGAGCATAGACAAACCTGGGTGCCCAAAACACACTATCTAACCTAGGGGAATGTGTTACGTGCAGTGGGTGGTGATCGCTATCCTAGATGCTGCTACTTCTGGGCCCTAATTTTTGATGTCCACCCTGGGGCTCCCAGACATTCTGGCACTACTGAACACCCTGCAATCTGCATACACCTCATCTTCGTCAGGCCCTGCTGTTTTCAAGTCTCTGACTGCTAAATTTCCTTTCTGAACACTACCACCTCCAGGCTACAGGAGGAATCTGGAAAGGAAAATGCAACACAGAAGAAAGAGCACTAATTCAGCTGGACATTCCTCAAGTCAGTCTCAGGGTCCTAGGAAATCCTCCTGTTTGTCATGGACATTTGGACACACCTGCACTCCCCTCCCATACTGCCCAGGGCTGGTGACTATTTCCTGTAGGGGCCGTGATCTCTGCATTCCATGCAGTGTGGGGCAGCTTTGTAAGCCCACAGGATATTTTACCCTACAGACAAAGGTCAAGAGAGCCCCTGAAAAGGAAGAAGTGCAGTTAACTCCTTCCCCTACCAGACTTTCCAGTTCTGTTGCTGAGAAAGATGCCAGAGGAAATGTTCCTGGTCTCTAGCCTCCTGCAGGGAGAAGCTCAATTTTCCCTTGGTGTGTGGAGTCACACTGGGGAGTCTGAAATACCCACAGACTGGGTCCAGCCTCCTCCTATGAGCCTCTAATTGATGCTCAGGAAAACTGGCTTCATCTTGTTCTTACCCTTTGAAAAAGGTTTGTTGGCCCCTGCTACACTTCTGTGTCTTTCAGTGTATCCTTCCCAGGATCAAGCACATTACTGGTAAAATCTTAGTTTAGTGTGTAAATGGGATCTGATGTTCTGGAAAATCCATTATTCTGTTTGAAAGTGAAAGAGCTGCCACAGAGGCTGTACATCAGTTTCTAGTTTTCAAAAGACAAAGAAAAATGCACATAGGCTAAAGTTACGAGGTTTGGAATGCTTCCTTTCTTTGGTGATTCAATTTAGGGAAGGCACCTGGCAATCTAGTAACCTCTCAGGTATCATTCTGGATATTGTATGAAAAAGCAGAGGCAAGGGTGGAACCCCCATATCTTCCTACATCACCAACTCTCTGCTTCCCCCTCTTGAGTAGCGCGTGGCTTGGGAGCACACTCCAGCATAACACTGCACACTGCATCAGATAGAAAGGTAGAGGGCGGTGCTGGGGAACCCAGGAGAGATGTGGATATGTTTAGATTTTGGGAGCTCATCCTCAGAAGGCATTCCTACAGCCTCTTTCATCAGTGATGGGAAAACCTCACAAAGGTCGTCTGAGGTTGCCCCTCCCCCACTCACCATAGACTGCATCTCCACTGGGGACACCCTAGCAGGAATACAGGGCTTGGGCATGTCCACTCCACAAAGCCAGCTCAAGACAACTTGGGCAGTTTTGCAACCTCCTACCTCTCTCCCACTCAACAAAATCCATGGCACAGGCCACCCTCTTCCCACAAAGCCGAGAACAGAAAACAAGCCAAAGAGGAAGGGGGGTGAAGCATCAATCCTAGGGCAGCTCTCAAAAGGGGGAATCTTGCCAGATCTAGTCTGTCCCTAACCAATAGGACAGGACCTGCTGGGAGCTGAGCGTGGCAGCCTCCTGGAGTTCTTGCTGGCCAGGAAATCAGCCTAACTCTCCTCTTTCCACGCCTTTTTCAGGGGCTCATGCTTGATGACCCGCCAAAGTTAGGGGAGGTAAAACTACTCCCTGACGTACAACCAAGATACCTCTGAGGTAGGCAAATAACCTAGGGTCTGGCACCTCACCAACTCTAAAGACATGCCCTTGGATGCCCCTCGGGAAGCCGGGTTTAGCAGATAACTGCGCATTCCTTGGGGACCCCTGGTTGCAAGTGACAGCCTTGAGAACAGAGGAAGAGCCTTGGCCCAGACCAGGCACACATCCCTGCACCCCTCCCACCGACCATTCCCGGAGACATGCGGAGGAGCAAAGCAGGGATCTTAGTCCAACAGGTCCCCTTCAACGGGCTTCAACCGGCTAGCCTTCCTCCACCCTGACCTGAGGCCCCAAATTCAGTGAGAGTGCCAAGGCACCTGCTACCACCAGGGCTCCATCCCCGCGGAAGGGGGCCAGGGCGGTGCCCTCGCCTCTCCGGCTTTCCCGGGAAGGGGCGGGGCGCTCGCCAGGCCTGAGCCCCTCACCCCTGACCCCTACCCCTCACTCACCTGGCGCAGGTGCTGCAGCAGCGTCCCCGCCTCCTCCCTCCGGCCCTGGCGCACCATCCGCAGCAGCTCTTGGACCATGCTGACGCGCCGGTGGTAGGGGGGCAGCCCGGCGCCGGCGCCCGCGCGCCCCGCCTTGTCCCCGGCGCGCAGCAGCAGCGACGCCCAGAAGTCTGGTCGTTCGCGGCGGGGGCCAGGCGCCGCGCCGGGGCTGGCTCTCTCCGCCAGGCTGCCCTTGGTCTGCCGGGTACCCATGCTGCCACCCGCCGGGACTGCCCGCGCCGGGCCGTGAGGCCGCGTCCCCCACTGGCCACCCGCCCTTCGGTCGCCTGGGCGCGCCCGCCTCCCCGACTGCAACTTTGGGGGAACTGTTGCGCGCGGGCGGCACGGAGGCGGGGGCGAGCAGCTGCCCGCGCTCCCCTCGCTCCTCCCTTCTGGCTTCCCGGGCGCGCTCCCCCGGCGCTAGCCGCCAGCCCGCCGGCCCCGCCG